CAACAAAAAAAGTAATTGTGACAAAGAGACGTAAGTATTAATGTTATCAATTAATTGTGAGAGGTTCCACCCTTCAGTTCAATTTGTACTAAATTGTACCTGGTAAAGGGGGGGGGGGGTATCATTTATGCTTTTAACTATCATCTTATTTGAATGACGAATTGCATTCATATTTTTAAACGATAATTCTCCAGGGGTTTTTATTTCATTTTTACAGGCTCTGTAACATCGGAAAAATATACGGCCATTTTATTTCATCTTACATACTCTCCAGATCCGCACATGGTGTACACAAATCTTTTCGTTAATACGACAAGCTCAGCACTGACTAATATTGTTCACGGACAAAAGAACATTCAAAAAACTGGGGCATTCAACTTCAGCATTTCAAGGGAATTTACATCTACTTCCGAAATATTCAGGATATCAGTGTCAGAAACAGCTAAACTTGTCATTGAAGTTCGGGAACTAAGTCAGTTTTATTTTTACAGCATAGCACATTTGACAAATTTAGGCGAAGAGTATATACTGGTCTCGTCAAGTAATAGAAGCAGTAATTACATGTGTCGAATTTCATCTAACTCACTTAATGACACCACTTTAGATGTAAGGGTGCCCTCAAGACTAAGACAGGAAGTTAGTTTAAGTGGATCATGTTTCAGAAATTCTCATTGCATTTTGAAAAGAGACAAGTATATCCAAATACAGAGTACAATTCCGCTGTATCAAACCGTTGTAGCATCTTCTGATACACTTGTTGTGTTTTGCAAGGATACCTCCATTTTTCAAGTCCTTCCCAAAAATAACTGCGGAAAGTATTTTCAGGTATCGTGTGCGATGTTTAAACCTTCCAATGTGAATGTGAACAACTGTACCATAAAAATCAACACTGTCATTTCAAAGAAGCAGAACATCACGATCAATGGCAGGGTGTTTTCGGTTGTAGACTTTGTTGGATTTAATTTAGAAAAGCAAATGTTACTATCTATTCAGGCTGAATACGAAGTTTGCATCCTTTTTGTGGATAGTTATTATGATAACTCTGGCAATAAGGTCATAAAAACAAAAATGCTTTCATCTATGCCTATTCCATCGTCACAACCCAATACTGATGTCACTTCCGCTTCCGAGCAAACATCTTTATTCAGTCAGACAAACTCCCAGAGGACAACTGTACAAAAGGACGCTTCAACAAAGGATAATAATAATAATATATCTACAACTGATCCAATATCTAGAATAATAGTGAAAAAGGCATCCTCTGCAACCTTCACTTCGTTGAAATCCACCGTGAAAAACGTTTTCAGGAACACACTGAGGGAGAACAGCACAAGTACCTTCCTAAATAGGTATTCGGTGCAACATAGCAGCGTTACATCTACAGCTGGCTCAAATATTACGTCTTCAGTAAATAGGAATGGCTCAATTACCAGACACGGTCCTCCGCCAGAATCTCATACATCTACTTTAAAAAGCACATTACTAACCACAAACCAAACCTTCGGTCGTCTTTATTCTACAACAGCATTGCTTACACCTGTTCTAACTTCCAAAAATATATGTAAGTGTGTTTGTAGAAAGTTAAACCTCACTTTAAGTTTTACTAGATCCCCAAACATCAAAATTAATGAAGTCATTGCAGAGCTTAAGATTAACAAATCTGAGTTATCGTCAGTAGTCAGAAGGAAATCTTGTGCAAAGGACGACAGAGCATCAGCTCAAGGAATTGGATATGTAGGTGCAGTGGTTATCGCATTAGTGCTGGCTACCATAGCGTTGTTTGATCTGATTAATCTTTTTGAAAAGTGTATTCAGAGAAAAGAACGTTTAAAGAAAGGAAGAAAGAAAGGCAACTCGTCCAGGAAAACTGGCATTTAATCTTTTTACTTTTGGACGAAATGTTGTAACTGTGTGAAGTTCTTTATAAATTTACACGTATCAGTTTTATTATTATGATGTTATGAATATATATATAATCTATGATGCTGTCGATCAAGTATAAATAAAAGCCATAAGATCTTTTTCTTACATACTGAATATTCAATAAATTGATGGAATTTGTTTAAAAGCAGATGATTGTTCATTGAATTTTTTTGAGAAGCGCAGTGGTATAGGTTATCAAACTAATATGATGAAAATACATTTTAAAGATTTATTATGTTGAAAAAAAATTAGTAAAATCATTTTTTGTGATGAGCTAGACACTCACACTGCCATATGTTCAGAATTTTGGGGAGCGCTAATTATTAATTTTTTGAATGTTGTTTAAGTCCTATTCGAGAATTTTTCACTCATGTAGAGACGTCACCAGTGCCAGATATTTTGATATATGCATGGTGCTAATAGCCAAAGCAATTGGGCTTCTTTCTCCTTATATGACACGATCCTTTGTTTTAAGGTTTTATCCGAAAGACTAGTGACTTTCAAGTCCAATGCCAGGCATTTGGCGACGAATCACTACCTTTGTTTGTCTTTTAGGTTTGACACGGCGACGCTAACTATAATGCACTAATGGCTGTGTGAAAAATCTTATTTCATAACTTCATGAACTTTATGAAAATATTGCTTTGGCTATAAGCATTATGCATATATCAAAATTTCTGGCACTGGTGACGTCTCTACATGAGTGTAAATTAAATACTTTCTTACATTTGCATGTCTGATAATTTTTAGTTGCTGTCTCGTACACTGCAGTATTTTGAGTTAACATGCAGAAAGTGCATAATTTCATATCTGTTTGAAGATTATATCCGTCTGTCTTAAAAATAGAGAAAAAGAACATATATAAAGGATGAAATATTTCTTAGGGATATTATGTTGGTTGGTACTGCTATAATATTTTTAAAAATGCAGCCTTCATTGAAGTTAATTAATGTACGTGTACAAGCAAACTTGCTTTGCACTTTTTTCAATTATCAATCTATTCTTTAGTAGAAAATGATAAATGAATGAATATTGAATACAACTTTGAAGTCGATTTTTGGAAAAGAAAGAAATTTACTACTAGATTGATTCTTGGGAGGTGTTTTTTAATAGGCTTTGTGAAGGTACACTGTAATACGTTTCAGTTCTTGAAACGAGTTTTAAAATGTTACTGGCCTTTTTGCCTTCTTACATGTTTGATATGTAGGGTATGTGTAGATGTGCCTCTTTTCGAGTTCAAATTCATACATAGATATGTTTTGTCAAATCTTACACATGCTTTCTTTTGCAATGACGCAGCACAGTTAAGGCTGCAGTAAGGAGGCGGGGCCTAATTTATACGGGAAATGCTTACTATGACGTCACACAAAATACAAGTTCTTCAAATTACCACAAAATGAAATGATTTGCTATTTTAAACTGTTGAATAGCTTTAAACTACATCCATACAAACTAGTGCATGCATTTTTGTCGTTGGTTAAATCCCACACAGCAATATATCAACAATTCTCTGATCGCAATGCACTTGTCAATGTGACGTCATATCGTAAAATCTGACGCAGTTTGTATGCAGTGAGAGGCGGATCAAATTATATTTATTCAATGAAAAATGTATTTTGTAATTAAATGAAATATAAATTGTAGATATATGACAGGCCATTAACTTGGATGCGATGTCTGTTTTATGATTTTAATCATATACTTCCCGTACATTCCCTAGACAAGCGATACTGTCGTATATTTGTATGCAGATTCATTGAAGGGTAATAGAAGGGTCGTAATAAATCGATATATTGCAAGGGCATACCCTCAATGAATTATGACAAGCTTTTACACATAAACTCAAGAAGTATGAAGATATTTGAAAAGTGCTGCAAACCTGTTGAAATCTTGCAAATGAATTAATTATATCTATATTTAATGTACTTGACAAGCAAAATATTCAACATACGGTCTAACAAATGTTATTTTAGCAATTAGATAGTAGAATCTGTATAGGTTCGCAGCACTTTTCACAAACTACAAAGAGTGTTGAAAATAATTATATGTTAAACTTAGATTTTTAACTTGGTTATGCCCATGCAATATTAGAATTTATAGATGACCTCAATACTTCAGGTATATTTGCTAAAATCACGTGACTGCCACATCACGTGACAAGTCTAAATAAGAAATCTAATCGTCCTCAACATGTAGTTTTCAACCACATTGCATTTGTCCGATAATAGTAAAGTCCTAAAAAGAAACGCCCATTCTTGTAAAAAAATGTATTTTCTATCTAAAAAAATCGCGGATATTTCCATTTGGCACCTTAACTGTACTCCGGAATTTTAATCAGCTACCTATTTTAGATACCCTAGTACAAAGAACAAGGTTCACTTAGGGCCTTTTTTGACCCTGTGAATTTCTGAAAAACTGAAACTTCTTAATTTTAGTTGACAATGCATTAAAATATTATTTAAATCTTTGGTGATTGCGAATCTATCAAAAATGACGTAATTTTCTGGCTAGTCAATGCATAATGACGTCATCAAATGCGTCATTTTCATCATATCTTGAAAAATTTTACAAAAACAGGCAATTTTAAAAGAAATTTTTCGATATTTAATATAGAGAGCAACCTCTGATCTAAAATATGCACTAATTAAATGATAGAACTGTTTCTGAGAATTACAAAACACGTTTCATTTTTTAGATCAGAGGGTGCGCTCATATTATTTTTCTTCTCTGAAAGTACTCAAATATACCCGTTTTCCTTAAAATTCAAGAAATTGCAATTCCATAAAGCCTGTTTTCCAAGATCTGGACTCTAGGGAGAAAATCTTTAATAGGAAATGAAAGTACTGAGTCTTTACTTTATCTTGATGTTTAAAATGGAACATAAAGTCTTAGTCAACAGATTCGTATATCTACAGGGCCATTTTATGCATAAAGTGAATCTAGCTCTTTTAACGTTAAGAACGTGTTTGTAATGTTTCTGTTTATTACTAAATATATGTTCAAAACACATACTCTACAATTGATAATACTCTTTAACATACAATAACAGAATTCAATATTTTTAACAGAAAATTAATATAACAATTTAAAAAAAAACACGGATTATAGAGAACTTAGAGAACATTATTAGTTCTATCAGTTAAAATAAACATTTTCTGACATAAACAAACCATGAAGCACACAATAAAATAAAGAGAACAATGAAATCGATACAGAGTTACCACTTGACGAAAATTTGTTTTCGATTTGTTCTAATTCCTTGTCACAGGAAGATATCCCCATGTAAAACTGTGTCATTTCCGTTCTATTGACTCTTTGATCCAGGCTATATAAGGCATGATTTTTTATCCAGTGTCCCACATCCTTCTTCAAACATGCATGATTTCTGACAGTCTTTACTACAGACAGACACTCAGACAGGCAGCCTCGTAATGGTCTACAATTATCAATAACCTTGAACTTAATATTTCTAACCTCTTCTGACTGTGACAACAGAAAATCCCAATGCCGGCATCCTCTATACTCCTGTGAAATAAACAATTGCATTTGATCCAGGTTTCGATGGGAAACACAGAAAGGTTGGTCCATGTTCTGTTTTGGATAGTAAGTCAGAAATCCAAGACACATCTCGTCATTTGTTCCATCTCCATAAAACACTGTCTTGGTTCTGGATGTGGATTTGAAGGTGCAAGTTGTTTTAAGGGTGTCTCCGGCTTTAAGTTCAAGTGGACTCAAGTATCTAACAAAACATAAAATATATCTTTAACCAAATATATATATAGTGTTTAATAACAAATAAAATTATACTTTTCTTGGAGTAATATTTATATAATATTTGTAAAATTGAGAGCATAAAAGTCTGTAAGTTACATGTATATCACTATAAATTTATAAAAAGTGCACATCTCTTACTAGTCTTTCATTTGAATGTAATGATATATACAAGTTTAAAAGAGATCAAAATGAATTACATCATGACTGTGAGATTAAACATACTTTGTCAACTGAATTAATTGGAGCACATCCTCTCTAAGCTGACATAAACACACAAGTCGGAAAAGAATGTTTTACTTACTCTGTAATTACAGGTGAATCATAGTTATAGTTATCTTCATTGGTAATATATCGTATTTTTTCTCCTCCGCGAAATTGTTCTATTTTCATCTTTCTACCTGTTGGCATGACCAGGAAAAGAAAAATATATATATACTTATATTCAAAAAGAACATTAATTTTGGTTAAAAAATACTTTAATATTGAATAATCATGACTTTAAAATAAGAATAATTGAATAATTGGATTTTATCATTTTAAACATCAATATTAATGTCCTTTGTTTTGACATCTTACCAAGGTAATGCATGTGGTTCAGAGCTCGTGTAAAGTATATAGAGCCGTTCATGGCTATATTTTCACAATGACCAGTGACAATCACTTCCTCTCTTTGTGGGGGTATCTCAAAATAACCCTGTCCTATGGTTAAAATCCCTGCATCAGCAATGCGTTTGCTAGGAGTATAGTGTAGAACCATTCCTGAGCCATCAAAGTAATTTGATTTCTTTTGTGGGTTGTTCCAATGAATCTATACAAATGGAAAGTAAAACTAGAATGATTTACCAGCAATACCAGTGATCATACAAAATTTTTGGTTTATGAAAAAAAATCAAACAATGTACATTTTTTTTAAATATTAACAAAAGAAGTTGTAGCAGTAGAAAAATCACATAAATTAAAGTACATGTATGCCTTATCAAGATGTTGAATGCTGTATGACATGTATGTAATTTTTTTAAGAGCGGGAGAATTAAGAGTCAATCTGATTACAGGGTGCTTTTTGACATTAAGGTGTCTTATTTTCCTACCTGTAAGACGAAGTATTTATAGCCGTGTTGTCCAAGTCTGAAACCTATATCCCTGTGAAAGCACTCCCCTGATGCACCAACTGTCCACAAACCAATGATATCAAAACAGTCGCCAACACTCATACCACAATGTTCAGGTTTATCCATACTAACAGATGCTATTTACAACAAAACACGAAAAATGTTTATACCTAGTACAATTCATCAATATGCAAAATCTTGAGTGCATTTATTTACAGTTTGACTGTGCTTAAGTATTTATTTATTATAATTGCTTAGAAAACGGCTAAATTTGTCGTGAAATTACATTTTTGTGTACATCCAAATAAGAGGATGTGATGCATGACATGTGCATTGTCAATGATCGGCTCTGTTGCTATCATGTGGTAGTCGCCATCTTGAGGAAATTCGAAAGACATGCAGAAATAGTTTGTTTCCTTTGCAGGTACAACTGTTCTTGGAAATTGGAATGTTATGTTCCTCAGCTCTGCAAATTAAAAAAAAAAAATCCAAATATCTCTGTTTACTTCTTTTTGTTTTCTCCGCCCTTTTCTTTTCTTACATGTATGTAAGAACCAGATGTGTGTGATGCATTGCTCCCATAGCAAACAAAAGAGTAACTTAATAATTAAAGGCTCATCTTGATATTATGTACTCTTCAATTCTGTAATACATGTATCAATTAACGTTCAATTCATAGTGTATTGACAAATGATGTTATAAATATTGGTTCATTTACGATGAAATTGTAATTGTAATCAAAAATGCATTTTAACTGAGAGGAGGGGGTATAAATAGTCTTTACCTGTTTCCCAATCCTCATTGAATTTATTCAATAAAATTGTTTAAACTTTAAAAACATTTTAACTGATCCTACTTTCAATGGTCTACATACCGGGATCCTGCTTTAAAGCGTCGCACTGAAAGGACTCAGAAGAACAATCCACCCAGTCGTTCCTCTGCTTGCAAAACGTACTGTTCATGGGTTCACATACGCCTAAAAATTACATACATATCACATACGCCTAAAAATTATTAGTAGTGCAATATCAGTATAAATCTGTCCAATACGATCTAGAAAATACAAATGTAATCTTATATTTTTTATATAAAATAATGAAATATTACAGACCGTTGATTGAGGAAATCGTGGTCTCAAAATGGATAAATGGCAGTCCTCTTTTACTTGATTTTCTTTTATTTATTTATTTATTTATTTATTTATTTATTTATTTATTTATTTATCTATTATAAATTAAATCTTAAATATTTAAAATATTCGCTTTTTATCAAACTGTGATATTTTTCAAAGAATTCCTTAGTGTTTATCCTGGTGTGAGTGTAAACCCCATACCAGGCCAAGTTTTCACATCTTTTAAAATTGTTTGTACTTCTCGGGCTGATGTAATACTGTATTTCTATTTCAAGAACTTAAACTTTTTTTTCCCATTGCAATTGTAGTCACATTTCCTATGAGTTACTAGTATATAAAATTTTCTTAATATTTTTTAATTTATGCTTCGAGTATCTGTTACAAATTGACGAAATAATAATAGATTTCTAATAATGAGATACTAACCAGGGTGTGTTATTCCAGTTACAGAGTCCGGAATTTTGCCTTCCATCCATAAACAGTTTGGATCTCCTAATTCCTCTCCATTTGTTCTTCCGTCTCCATCTGAGTCCATTCTGCAGAGGGACTCACTCCACACCTTAACACAAAGTTAAACATATCAGATATACAAATATATATAAATATATTGTCTTTAAAGTTGTTTATTTTTTTTTTTTTTTTTTGCTTTGTTGGTTCGTTGTTTAACATCCCTTACAGCTGTATGAGAGTTTATCACTCATATGACATGTCACTAGATACCGTTGAATTACTTCAATGTAAGTTCGACCTTATACTCGTCACTCAGGGCAAGTGAGGTTTCCTTTTGAGTGCCTATAAAGTGGTTTATTTATTTATTGATATTATTTGTTTTGGCGCGTGTGTTTTTAAGAATATGTAGGTATATTTTAACACGGGGCTTCGGATTTTAAGGCCTAATCAGAAAGATCTATTCAACATTTTCTCGATTAGTACCTAGTCTTGGGCGAAGGAACAATTGCTACGTAGTATTTTTATCGTCTTAGGTTTTCGCCGCCGTGTCTCGAACCTACAACTCCTTATAACTTAAAGTTGATCTTGATGCATCTTTAAAAATTTACCTTGACACTATTTAAATGCTATAAAAAGTCGTTAAGTACTGAAAAGATTAGAAATATAATTCTATGTACTGATACTTTGTTTTGATAATTAGATTTGTGGGAGAAATAAAACAAAAGAAGAATCTAAAATTTGTCAGACATTCAAAGATTAGACTATTACATTTTACTTAAAATGAACAATAAGATGATTTCAAAAAATTAGTGTAGAATTACATTCAATATTTATACATGTTTTTACATGTATTAAACTGACCTTTCCTTGGTTGTAGAAATCCAATCCAAACGGGTTCCTTTCTCCTCCCCCGTTCTTGTTTTTGTGCCCTACACCTTTCCACATGTAGTTCGGTTTGCAAGGATGGGGAACATTTTCCCCATTAGGAATTTTTTCAGTAAAATATAAATAGGCATGTCCCGATGTAACGACAATGATGAGCAGCGGTAACCTACAGGGATAAGTTTTAACAGAAATTACTGAGTTATTTTAGACACGATTTTTCCCTTTTCCATCTAAATACAAAATACTTTCTAATAACTTACGTGAAAGATTAAAATTTCCAAAACATAGGAAAATGATATTTTCTTATATACGTCTTGCATTTTGTTCTTTTTTTTCTTAAATAGCATTAATACATGTGATCAAAATTGTGATTAATTAATTCTCGAATCAGCATTTGACAAAGTTAATTTTTCACTTACTTCTTGTTATGTGATGTCTTCAATATAATATATAACTTACCCTTTCATTTTCATTCTCTGATTGCGGTTTAAATATAAGTGTAAATAACTTTGCCTCCTTTTTTATATACATGTTGACACTATGTTGCAATGTTTATTAAGTCTGATGTCATACAGTTTTGTTTCGTGTGCACAATTCTAAATTTTCACCTAGAAAGGTAAAAAAAAGAAGTCTTTCCGTTTATTTTCGATGTCCTAGATAGACGAAGATCATTATACAATACATATGTAGATGCAATACATACCTAGATCGCTGAACCGAACAAATTTCATCATAGGATGCGACATTTCATTCATTAATACTGTATATTAATATTGTCATTGTTTACCAATCTCAGTGAAATTTTTTGTCATAAATGTCTAATCGCCGATTTTTTTAACTTTCACTCACTTAAAAAATTCATAAAAAGGAGAACCATATTGATTATTTAGTTGAGAATGTCATGCATGTACACCAGATGATGGCCTATGAATAACTGATAGAGCAGGATCCTAAATACATGGATTGACCCAGAAGTAGTGTAACTGCATGTCTTTCTAAGTTTCTTCGACGTAAGAGAGATGTAAACTCTACATATCAGATGCTTATAAATCTGAAAAATTAATTTGTTCCTAAAATTTTAGAAATGTAACTTGTTTGCAAAACTTTCAGAATTTACTTGAAAGTTGTTATGAGATCTTCAGTTACATGTTCAATTATGTAGAAAACATATTTAATTAAGGATGTGCGTATATTTCACTTCTAGGTTGTTTGATGATTCTACAATGTAATATGGATTGCAATAATGTAGTAAATGTACTTGCATGTATTTGAAAGTATTTTTTGGATTAATATCGAGGTGTATTATTAAATATCTGTCCAAATCTAAAGGACATAAAAACAGTTTAATAATGTCGCTATATATAGCATGACAAATTTGAAAGCTATAATCAGAAGGTTGGTTTGTTTGTTTTAAGGTTAGACGACACGTTCACATAATATATGATTTTGTCCAGGAATTTTTCATTGAAGTATTGCTACTTTATAGTTTCCTCACAAAAAATTGAGGTACCTTATCAGATATTTATGCACGATACCATAGGATTTTATTTACTAAATAATCCTATTGGAAATCACTGGCATTGCCAATAATACATTTTTTTTGTGTGTGTCTTTATATTCTTAGAGATTTTGTACACAGATAATGATAATTATGATTAAATTGTTATATATTACAAAGAGATACAGAAAAGATATTCGAGCAACGTGTCGTCAGACCTTAATCTATATCTTAATCATTGGCTCTGCTTTCCTGTTTATTTGGTTTTATCTTTAAATCCCACTTAAATTTCGTGCTCAACGGAATTAAGACACTAAAAAATTATATCAAAATTGATAAAAGTATGAAGACGAATGTCTTTGTTTAAAAAAAATAACAATAAAAGATATGAGCGATGAAAGTATGCACTAATCTTTGTTTGATGTTCAAATGATGATTCTTGATAATAAAATATTTTTCTCTTCATACACTGAGATCCCTTATTTGCAATTGTTAAAAAATATGAAATCGAAAATTTCACCTGCACATACAAGTTACACTTCACCTAACATCCGCATTTGACTTATCTTTATTCAATCGCCTTTTTCTCTGGTTGAGTGAGCACATATTAGAATAAATGGATTTTTTAAAAATGATGAAATATCCCTTGTTTGTTTAATCATTAACAACGTCCAATACCATGAATAAGACTAGTCCCGCGTGTGATTTTGTTTTAAAAGATAACATCTTCAGAGATTTACGTTTACCGGAGACAATGGATAGAGTTGTTCCTGTAATTCCTGTCTCCTATTTATGTCGTTTTTCACATTTTTCCACTTCGTCCACTTGACAACTGGACCATATTTTACAAAATTTGGCCTTGAGGAATAAGAATCCAATTTTTTTTTTACGAATATCAAATAATGTCTTCTTTAAATCTGAGATTAATATCAAACAGTAACAAACAAATTCAAAGATCTGAGGTCCCCCGCTTTCGGCGTTTTAGTGGTTGGGATACAATTATTAATGACATATTGTAACGGTTTTGTTTGTCTTCTATTGTCTGTCCATCATGCAAAAGATATAATTTTTTGAATTAATAAAGGTTACGGTCAAAATAAAAGCTTCTCAAACCTGCATGAAACTTCAAGATTCAGGTCATGAGTTCAAATATGATAATACAATCTACAAGGTCTTGTCACAAGGTATGCATATGTGAAAAAATATGAAAGCCCTATCTCTTGCGAAGCAAATGTTGATGACCAAAGTTAATTTTTGATAAGTAGGTCAATTTGTTAATTATCTGAACAGCATGATCGATTTTCCCTTAAATTCATGCAGGATGCGGGGACACTTTCCTCATTGCATTATTTGTACATGATGAAATTTTTATTTCATAAATATCTAATATGCATTTGTTATGCATTATACATATAACAACAATTAGATAGCAGTAAAGAACAGTGTCCCTTTTACAAAAAAAGGGGGAAGGAAAGAAAAAAACCTATCATACATTAATAAGAATGTAACAACAAAACAAGATTTTTTTTTTAATTTTCATTTTATTTATTCATTTCTTAATCTATTCATTTTTATTGTATGTTTGTTTGTTTTTTTTTGGGGGGGGGGGGGGAGGGGGGTTTTTTGGTTTTTTTTGTGTGTGTGTGTTTTTTTTTGGTCGTTGTTGTTTGTTTGTTTGTTTGTTTGTTTGGAATTTGTGACTCTTGCTGTCCTATGCGATTTTTTTATAACTTCTGAATACTTACTGAGAAAATAAACCAAGATATTAATTTTTGATTTATAAAATTTTAAGGCAACAGGAATTACAACACGAATATCACAATTCTTAATGTTCACCTGTCATCTGCGTTCAACTTTCTTAAGTAAAGTTTTTTTTTTACGGTTGTATGAGTAGGCATACAATAAACAGGTTGAAAAATGTAGTGCGTCTGAATCGCAATTTTGGAAAGTGGAATTTAAAAAAAAATTACTTGATGCAATATTCCCTGTATGTTTTAGCATTAATGGGATCGTCTGATCAGAATTTTGATTTCTGTATATAAAACCTCGTCTCTTATATAAAATGTAGAGCGGCTTCTTATGACAACAGCACTTAAATTTGATATTTATTGCTAAATTGGAACAGCATGGGGAAATCCTTATCATAGCCTGATGACGTGGTGGAGGGTCTTCAAATGTCAGGTGTTAATCAAGTATAACAGCCAATGCATTTACGGTTGCACAGTAATAACATTCCTTGCATCATAAATAATTTTTTATCATTGTAAAAAAATAAACATCTATCTTAGATGAAATATATGGAGATAACGAACAGTATTCAAACTCAAAAGTCCATTAAACAATACAAATTTTGGAGCAGAGCAAACACGTACCTCTAAAACATCAAAGGTGGGATCAGGTGTCATGGAGGAGTGAGCATCCCCTGCCGACCTGTCACACCCGCCGTGTGCTCCTTGTCATGATAGGGAAATGACGGAAAAATCCGTCGACAATTCTGTGTGTAAATAATGGCCTAGTAATTAGTATGAAAAACGTCAGTCAGCATTTAACTTAATGATAAAGTGTATTTGCTGACAATGTCATTGTATCGAGCATAGAACTTACAGAATGACGACTTTAAACGAGACAGCTGATATTCTTGTTTCATCAACTTGTTTGTCGATAATTTACCTCGTTTCTTTTTAGAAATTGTTCATACGTAGAGAATGCTCTTGCGTATCGAATCAACTGAGAGATACATGTATAAACCCCATATGCAGGTGTTGAAGGTATACTGCTGCTAAGTAAGGGAAGTTGACGATTGAAAAATTAAAGTCATCACGTTTATCATAAAGCTTGGTTGTTAGATTACCATTAATGTATTTTTCTTAGATGAAATATATGGAGATAACGAACAGTATTCAAGCTCAAAAGTCCATTAAACAATACAAAATAGGAGCAGAGCAAACAAGGACCTCCAAAACATCAGAGGTGGGATGAGGTGCCATGGAGGAGTGAGCATCTTATCTTTTGAAAAGGATGTATTCGTTATTAATAACAAAAGATTTGACCTATGGGAGAGAACAATTTTCCGGAAAAAGTCACATTTAAAAATCAATGTTCTTAAGTTGTTTTCTATCATATATTTGTCAATTTTTTTCAAATTTGCATTTTGAACCTAATTTTTTTTAACATGCAACTTTGATTGATTGATTGATTGATTGTATATTGTTTTACGTCCCGTTCGAGAATTTTTCACTCATATAGAGACGTCACCATATACCGGTGAAGGGCTTCAAATTTTGACCTTTACTCGGCACTCAGGGCCATTGAGCAGTGAGGGATCTTTATCGTGCCAACGCCTGCCGTGACACGGGGCCTCGGTTTTTAAGGTCTCATCCGAAAGACCCGCAACTTTCACTTCAAAGTGCCGAGCGCATGGCGAAGGAACAGTTGCTACCTATTTTTTATCGACTTAGGTCTGTCGCGTCCGAGATTCGAACTCACGACCTCCCGATCACGAAGCGAGCGCTCTACCGACTGAGCTACCGTGAACGGTAACATGCAACTTTGAAATAAGCCTCCAAAGTTGGTCAAAACAGTATTTTGTCAGTTAAAGCACTAATTTTTGCATGAAGTCCTTCAGGACAGGCCTGCCCCTAAATTGAATTATGAAATTTTGATAGATTTTGATCTAAAGAATGATTTAAAACAAGATTTTTTTAGGGGCACCCTTACCCTAGAGTCGAAATTCGTAAAAAACCTACAAAAAATGCGAAAACCTATTTCTATCATACTGGATTATACGTATTTATGACGAATATTTTCATAGTCAGTATAGCTCAGAAAGATAGACCGAGGACTCTTACCATGGACATTTTTAGTTTCCTGGTTCGAATCCACCTGTTGGCACACTTTTATTTTTTTTTCCAAATTTTTCACCTGTATAAACACGAATTTGATTTTTTATACAGGCTTTGGCATTTTACTTCTATTTTCTTCCTTAAATGTATGTTTGCTATTGATATAAAAGACATAATGATTTATGGAAATGCAGATCATAAATTCTCTTTAACTAAACGAGTCGCCCGCGTGGCGCAGTGGTTAGAGAGTTCGCTCTAGAGTCGCGGTTTAAGGAGTTGATCCTTACGTCGCGGGTTCGAATCCCACTGTGGGACATGGACACCGGTCCTTCGGATGAGACCGTATAAACCGAGGTCCCGTGTCGCCGTAGGTGCTGGCACGAAAAAGATCCCTCACTGCTCAATGGCCGTAAGTGCCGAGTATAGGAAACAATTTGCAGCTCTCCACCGGCAAGTGGTGGCGTCTCCATATGAGTGAAAAATTCTCAAGAGGGACGTTAAACAATAAACAATCAAACAAACAAACTTTAACTAAACGCAATCAACCGGAACTATATCTCAGTGTAAGCACACTTTGTTCGAGGACACGAATCATACACTTTGTGTTACTCGATACTGCAGGTGTCACGAAAAAAAAAATCATGCCGAGAAAAAATTTGCTGTGTTTGTCTTTCAAGAGCATCTCTGGGTAGTAATACTGTTTTCCCATTGGGAGAGATACTGCGCTATGCAGAGTAGATGCAGTTCATTCCTCGGGAATATTGTGTGCATTGGCGACATGTTATGTCAAAAATGCAGGAGGAAGGTTTACAGATAAGAAAAGAACGTGGTAAGGTCAGTTAATGTTTTATGCCCCGTTGCCATTACCCAGGCATCAGGTAAGGACCCTCTTACAAAGGATGTATCTGTAAATACCGATGTAGGGTCATATGAAGACACAGTTGACTAGAACTAAAACGATACATGAGAAACAAGAAACTATACGCATGTGGCCTAAAGTCAGCGACCGGAACGGATATCGATAAGCTTTTTCTAAAGACTGAAACCAATATCGGCCCTATAGGTCAACGCATATATTTACCTAGAAGTGATCCTTTGGAACTAAATCAAGTGAAATTTACCTTTGCAAATAAGTATCTATTCCCAAATAATTGCATGTCATTATTAATTCCTTCTCTTATTTTTCTGAACCACTAGAATAATTTGTATGTAAAATTATACCTCCTTCAGTACATTCGGATTCACAATGAAATCGCAAGCGCTTAATTGGCACATTTTCATCACTTGATTCTGGCATGATAGTGTTTACACTTGGAACCAATGTGCCTGGAAGTCGTCATAAAAGTAAGGATTGTGGGAAACATTAAGCAAGTGCAATAACTTTATCTCTCAACATGAAAGCCTCCAGAAAGCAGTTCACACACTTATTTGTCAGCATCGGGTAAAATTTATCAATAACTATCAAATGAATGAAATATTAAAAAAATTATTCTAGACCTGACGTTCCCTTTTACAACTTCTAATACAATCAAAAATGTTTGATAAACTAGTTCTATCAGTTGATATTTGAAAATTGTATTTCTGTTAAAAGACCTTTGGCTTGTCTGAACCTGTGGGTAATGTTAGTTTTCTGATCGAAATGTGTCTGTCGTCTGCCTATTCATGTCGATTTTTTTTAAATTTTCGACATTTCCGAGGGTAACTGGACCAGCTTTTACCAAAGTTTCCTTCCTTCTGAATAAATTAAATTGCTGAAATTGCAGTTTTTCTCCAGGAAGAGAAATTTATAAAGATATGAAAATAAAACTGAGTCACTTAAGAGGGCTGGGTGGTTGTGGCCATTTTCAGACTATATTGATCTCCTTTAGAAGAAGAGCTCCATATAAAGATATACAAAAATGATCAAAAATTAAAAATAAAATGTATGAAATTTTTGTTTGCCAAATGATAGTTGACAGCTTAAGATATCATATCTAAAAACTTAAGTTATATCTGATGGTTAATTTGTTGACCCCAGCCTCCTTAAAAGGTCTTCTCAAAAACCCTTGCCAGAAAAAACGAAGCTAATTCAAATGCTACCGCTTATTACATACATTAAAATTGATTAAATTATTGCCCTTGGGGATAATATTAGATATATTAATATTTTAAAGAAAAATATATTTATTAGTAAAGTTTAAAATTTGTATTCCATAAGGACAACAACGTCACGATTAGAATAATCAATATTTACATGATCCTAGATTGTGTAGATTCAAATTTTTCAAAGTATGGCTACCATGGCCAGGGTTGGACAAAAGCCGGTTTAATTCCATGTTTGTATGCATAAAAATGTATAATTTCCCTTTCTTATTACACTAGTATCAAACGTCAGGTTGATCATGAAACATCCCCATTTAGTATATATATATATTTTTTTTAATTGTTCAAGTAAGGTCCTGAAGGAAGGTTAAGACCAAAAATGGACCAAAGTTTAACATTTAAAGGTGTATGAAACAAAGTATCTTCTTTAAAAAGGACGTTAAATAGTTGAAATAATGCGATCAGATTTATATATTATTACCTTTCGTAGTAGGACTTCTATTTGTATTACATTTTTGCCAGTAGATCGGGCATCCATTATACAGGATAATTATTAAGGTGACTAAGGCGAAGGTTATCGCCCATGGGCATCTTATATAATTTCCAGTTGAATGATGCCGTCGAACACGTGCACTAAAACCCCTGTCACACCGGGACTGCGTCCTCACGGCGATCGCACGGCGTCCATAAAAAATGCAAAACGCCGAGGTGAGCGCAGTAGAGTCTCCTACAGCGCCGTGACAACGCGGCGAGATCTCCACTGAACGCGGTAGGGTCGCGTAGGGTCTCCTAGAACGCCAGGGGACGGCGCGCACTTTGGGCATGCAAAAAGTACGCACCGTGTGATCGCCGTCTGATAAGAACGCAGTAGAAACGTAGTATGATCGCCGTAGCAGCGCGATGAGATCTCCAACAACGCAGTGGGAGCTCCGTACGCACGCCGTGAAGACGCACATGATCGCAGCATGAACGCAGTGATAGTAGACTGCGCTTCCACGGAGACCTCGCGGAGTCCTTGGAGATGTCACGGCGTTTCTATCGCGCTTTTACGGCGCTTCTAATGAGATTAATTGTCTTGTGATTTTTTTGACTGCGATTACACAGCGACAACAAGGAGTTGTCACTGCGATCATTGCGTTCCCTTGGCGTTTCTACCGCGTACGTTGGCGATCACAATGCGCTTTCACGGCGTTGTTAGAGCGTTGTCAGCCAGCTCACATAACAAGAGCAATCGCCTCATATTTGATCAGCAATAATTCTAACGTATTTTTGCACTCCTGGCCAGGAGCATGGGAGTAAAATTGGGAAGTAAAAATTACACCAGAACCTGTTCTGTTGTTTCAGTGGGGTTGCGATGGAATTACTTAAATTCTATAACAACTTTTCAGTGTGTTTATTTTTTACATTCATAATAAAATCAAAGAAAAAACACATCTGAATTGATATAATTGAAAAAAGAAGGGTTTTAATTATAAAACTAACAGTAATTTAATACTAAATTATTCAAATATATCATTTTTGAAGACTTTTCGCTATATGACTCGAATCTTCAAAGAAAAATATCTTACACTCCTTCTTAATAAATATCCATAGTGAAGAACGCATCGTGGACGTACATGTATTGTGAACGCAGCAAGCGCAGTGAGAACGCCTTGAACGCTAGGTGACAACTCCTAACACGCCGTAAAAGCTCCGCGGAGGCGCAGTCAATCGCGAAGAGATCTCCGTTGGGAACGCAGTAGCACGCCGCGAGAACGCCGTAGAAACGCGTGGATCGCCGTAGAGACGCCATGACATCTTCACATTGTAAAAATTTTACTGAAATTTGTGGGATTTCCCTGCGATTTTAACATTTTTACAACGCCGTAATGACTCCGTGTGGACGCAGCTTGGTGTGACAGGGCCCTTACTTAGGTCATATGCATGTTACGGACATTATTCGATTATTTATTATAAACTGATGTAAATTCATGTGACGAATTTGCTGAATGAAATCGTTTTCATTATATAACTGTTAAAATGCAATTTATTTTGCATCACACATTTAATGGCATCTTACTTTATAAAAACAATCTTTTCAAATATTGCCAGCAAGGCATGCAGCAGCGATGTATATCAGTATGAATAATTCTCATCAAACGTGCATGTAAATTGTATAAAAAATAAATCAATGGATGCATTGGCTATGAGAGTTTTAATCTGAAAGTATATCAAGCCCATAAACATTCTTTTCTAATGTTGCCGTTCTCGTGAAATAACATTTTAGTGAGTATGACCGTATCAAATTCATCCTCTGATTCACTGCTTTCTCAAATATGTGAAATATAAAGTCGAGCTGTGTTTATCATTATTTTTTTCTTCAAAAAAAAAAATTAATAAATCTTCCATAGGCATTTGAATTACTTAATTTTTGTGATGAATCATGTCTGGCATAAATTCCCCCTATACAGAATAGTTTCATTCTGTGTTAAATCCAGTGTATTTTCCCATTAAATCTGTGACCCCCGAGTAATATTATAAGAGGAAAGAGATATATAAAAATTCGATGTTTTGAACGGATGCTAATGTTTTCTTAAGAAAAGGACATGATTTTAAATTAAGGATATACATTAATTATTAATCTTTGAAAATAAATCATTTATGTTTCACGTATTGAGCTCTTATTAAGCGTATATTAAAGGAAAACAATTGAGTCCCTAACAGCTACAAACAATAACTTTGGAAAAACGTGAATGAGCTATATGAAGATCGTTTTTTCAATCATTGAAGCTTGAATTTTTAAAAAATCTGATAAACATGCTGTAATGTCGTATGTATATTTCATCATTTAAATGTCACAACAAAACATACGTTGTATCTCCTTTCTAAAAAGATTTTGTTTGTGCTATGCAGTGACTGTCTCTAAAAAGTTTTTTTTCCTTGATTTTTTTTCTGCATTTTCCCCATTTAAATAAAAGAGGCAATTTTATCAAACTTTCATTATCATTTTTATTTTAATGTTCCTTTTTCCATATCTGCGAGGTATACTAAGTAAGAAAATTGTTGCAATATCTTTCTTAAATACATGTATGTTTACCCATTTCAAAATAAGAAATGTTTTGCTCTGTTTGCACCTCAAGAAAACCATGGGATTACTATTATTCATTCTTTTTAAATTTACTTAATTTTTAACAAGCGGAATCCTGAAGTGTCGAGAGGAAATAGGTCGGTTAAAGAGATACATCTTACTACAGCGATAGATCTCCTAAATCCTGTGAACAATACAAATTCTGAACAGGGCAAAACCACAGACCACTGGAAATATCAGAGATGGGATCGGGTGCCTAGAGGGAAAAACCATCCCCCTGTCAACCCGTCACACCTGCCTTAGGTCTTTTGTATTCATCAACAGGAAGGTCATATGTTTCATGATTCGGAGAGGGGGGTTGATTTCAATTTTTATTTATTTATTTGTTTTAGTTTTTGAGAATCCACGTTTGATTTCCTCCACTTCTTGAATATTTTGTAGCAGAGGACATTTGACACTTCTCCTTCACAGCAGTTAAAATTTGTCAGAAGTAAAAATCAGGGCTTCTTGATAGAATTGCTGGAACTTGTATCTATATTTGTAAGCATCTTTATGATGCTTTGGAATACACTATAGGTATGATATCTCAAATAGTTTACCGTTGACTGGAATGTTAAAAGCATTTAAAACTGACACATGATTTTGAAGAATTTTATCTTTTGAAAGAGAACTTACATGTACACAGATGTGGCATTAAAGCCATGTTCTAAAATGCAGTTGTAATAACAAATCTTAAAAGCAAAGATGGATTGTTATTGACTTTGTAAGCCATAGCATATTATTCATTTTAGTCTTTCAAATTCTTTTCACAGAAAACAGAAGAATAATTACATCTGAACCTCTTTATCCTGACAAAGTGTCGAGGTCTTCCCCTTCATATTTTACGAATCGTGTAACAAACTCTTTCACGTGATACATAATAGAAATAAGGTTTTGTCGCCATAATTTTAGACCCTTTCAGGTCATCTTTTTCAACTTTATTTGCAACACCAGTCATGATGCGATCAGCAGGACTATAGTTGATTGACATATTGATTAATCATATGTTGCTTTACGTCCCGTTCGAGAATTTTTCACTCATATGGAGACGTCACCATACATGTACAAATGTATACAGAGGAGGGGCTTCAAATTTATACCTTTACTGGGCACTCGGAGCTATTGAGCAGTGAGGGATCTTTATCATGCCAACGCCTACAGTGACACAGAGCCTCAGTTTTTATGTCTCATTCGAAAGACTCGCATCTTTTACTTCAAAGTGCCGAGCGCTTGGCAATGGAACATTTGCTACCTATTTTTATTGACTTGGGTCAGTCGCGGCCAGGATTTGAACCCATGCTCTACCGACTGAGCTACTTGAAGGACGACTAAAGTTGAAATAGGAAGAAGAACAAATACACTTAAGAGGACTTTGATTTAGACACTGTGCTTATAAAAAAGTTTGGAAGCAACACTGGGGAATTTCTGTTAAGGAAATTTAGGGCGTTAACTTCATCTTAAATTAAAATTTGTTGAAATGCAGGGCAGATTTTTTTTTCTTGATTGAGAATGTTTCTAATGTTTACAGAATCTAGACCTTTATTGACAAATTTTAGCTTAAGGAACCTACTGGCTGATTGAGAGTTATTGTCTTCCATAATAAGTAGAGGTTTGAAGAACCTGCAATGGACAACATCCATAATCATAAAGATTACCTTGTATTCTGGTGTTAAGGAATGCATGCATGGACTTACTTAAGCTTAACAAAGATATCTATTTAATAAGGAGATTTCTCTTACATGTAGAGTATCTTAATCATTATAGAGATATGTTTAAAAAATTATTCATGGATACAAGAGATAGTTTATATATATATATATATATATATATATATATATATATATATATATATATATATATATATATATATATATATATATATATATTTCTTATGAAAATAGAGATATGTTAAATGAAGCAATATATCATATCTTTTACATATATAAAAATATATTTATCTTAAGTAAAATAAAATATCTATAAGACTGCATTTCCCTCTCTCTTTTTCTCTCACTCTTTGAGAACTGTGAAGAAAAAAGTTATCTTGCTTAGCTAATGATTTTAAAACGTCTTGTCATAGTCAACATGTGATACCTGTGGGAAAAGTGTCAAATTTTCAAAATCTTAATCTTTGTTTTCAGCAAAAAAAAACCAGTATCTCTTATTAACACAATACCACTTCAGTATTAAATCTAAACAGGAAAAAAATCCAACATCGTAAAAGAAACCAGGAAACCGGAAGTTAATTAGATGAGCACAATACTTGGCATTGTCAACAACTTCCTTAAGTCAGACGACATGGGCTCTTCCCATCATGCTTGTAGAATATTGAGAACATGCATTATTTTATATATAATGAAACTTCTGTTTAAATTGTTGTCTTTTAATAATAGCTATACTACTATTTTAGAGGTCTTAGGTAGGAAGGAAGATATATATTGTATAATTATCCCCCCCCCCGTTAAGTGTTTGTTGGGGGATATTGTATCAAATTGATGTTTCTTCTCCACCTTTGAGGAAAACTGCCCCTACAATTGTTGCTGTCTGTAAAGAGATTTCATTTAATTCTTTCAATAAGCACCACAAAAGATGTGTCTAGGGCGAGCTCTATAAACTAAATCCCCTGGCTACTTCGGTATTATTGTAATCTGCTTATGTATAGGTTGAATTGTTACTCGTGTTTCGTTTTAAAAGAGGCCGTTTAATTTTAAATGAATAAAAACTGACAACGAAGAACAAAAATATGATTTTTAAAAAAAAATTTCAAAGATGTAAAAAAATATATATATACTTCAAAGGGAACATGTATATTAATTGCAGGTTTAATAACATTTCAAATCATAAGGTCCCCGACAGATGTTTCAGGGAATCAAGCTTATTAATGAAATTGAGACAATCAATTTAAATTAAACACTATTTGCAAAGAATTTAATAGTAGTTTATTCATATAGTGCCTAATTTATTTTATCTTTGAATTTAAGTGTAAACAGATGTACATGTTCCAACAACATTTGATTGATTGATTGTGAGTTGCTTTACGTCCCGTTCGAGAATTTTTCATTCATATAGAGACGCTACCATATACCGGTGAAGGGCTTCAAATTTAGACCTTTATTCGACACTCAGGGCCATTGAGCAGTGAGGGTTCTTTATCGTGCCAACGCCTTCCATGACACGGGGTCTCGGTTTTTAAGGCCTCATCCGAAAGACCCGCAACTTTCACTTCAAAGCCGAGCGCTTGGCGAAGGAACAGTTGCTGCTTATTTTTTATCGACTTTTGTCAGTCGCAGCCGTGATTCGAACACACGACTTTCCGATCACGGAGTGAGCACTCTACTGACTGAGCTACCGTGACGGTACCAACAACATTTAAAGATATTGCAAAGATAACAAGCATTCTGAGAGTATTGCATTAGCAATACTAGTCCCCTACCAGCAAGTGTAATCTGGTTCCCGTTAAAAATTGAAAAAAAATAATTCCGTCAAAAATTAATGAAGTGGAACAAAATGCAAATTTGATCTATAACTCATCAAGGTAAAGTCACATACCAAACATCAGCTCAATATCTGCAAGCGTTTAGAAAAAAAAATGCGAAAAACCCTGCAAAATTGAAAAGGTCATAATTCCGTCAAAAATCATTGAAGCGGAACGAAATGCAAACATCAAGATACACTCACATACCAAAAATCAGCTTAATATCTGCAAGCGTTTAGAAGAAAAATGCGGAAAACCAAGTGGGACAGACTGACAGACAGACAGAGGGACAGACGGACGGACAGACTCAGAGGAAACCTATAGTCCCCTCCGGTTTCACCGGTAGGGGACTAATAATTTGGGAAGTCCCTCCCTCCATCCCCCCCCCAAAAATAAAATAATAATAAATAAAAATTATTTTCAGATTTTGAAAGCCCATAAATTTACTGAGTTTTTTTAAGTCCAGTTTCATCACAAAAAAGCTATCTTGACTCATTGAGAATGAAACGTATTTATAAAGATTTTTTTGAACACTACAACTGTAACACATGCTTCTTCATTCAACTTGTAATTCAAGGGAACATGCGAATAATCTGTCTGCAACAATCTTTTAACATTCACCTACATGTGATAAAAACAAATAACAGATGTAAATAATTTACTCTGCAGACTTCCTTACGTAATTAAGTACAAGATATGTAAAGGAATTTGTAACCTTTAGTGCACAAACGGATGATAATTGTATTCCCTGTAGAACACTTAATTCATATAAAGAAAACATTGTAACATTGATTTTAAGCCCAAATGAATAGGTCAAAAAATAAATAAGATAAAAAATAACCATTTTTTACGATTTGATATATGGTCGTGTACTAATATTTTTTCTAACATTTTTATTGAACGTATCGCAAAATATCTAATATTATAAATTTACTTAAAAAGAGTATAATATAACTTTAATCTCACATCTCAGGAAAAGTCCTCATTTAAACACAAATTTTATCACATTTTAACCAGAACCTTCAAATAGAATAGCCTCAGACAACCTGATTGAAGTCTTAAAGCTTTCAATTGCTTCTGAATAATCTCACACACTTCCGGCAGGTTCGGACAATTTCCTGTCTAAATCGTTCATGGATAATACTGTAAATAAACGGGTTAGCTGCAGAATTGATCATATAAGACCTTATCAGAAAATTATACGCCACCTCTGTAGAGTTTCCTTTGTTGACCTCTAGGAAGGCAGTATGGGTAATTTTCAGCACCCTCGTTATCAGATGAGGGAGAAAACCAATAATAAATACGATTGTCACCGAGTAGAATATGAGAGTCGAGCCTTTCATTCGAATACCTCTTTTCCCAATGGCATATCCACAACGCTCAATGTTCATGTCCGAATGGTTGTCCTGGAATTTTTGAGATTCGGAAGTGTCCTTCATGAAAATTAATCCATCGTGAAAAGATCCTCTCCTCCTACGATACAACTTCATTCCTATCAGAGAGTATAAAATTATCATTAACACAAGGGAGAGTATAAACACGATGTTAAGTATATAAAGATATATACGAGCATTGATTGATTCATCACTAAAACTTGAACATTCAAACCCATTGATTGTTACATTGACTCCCCGCACGGGTGAAGGTTCGAGTCCCGCAAACATCACTATGGGCCAAGAAAAGAGGATGCTTAGTCCTACACAAATGCAGCAAGCTCTCTTAGCACGGCTGGGAGTGAATAAAATTCGGGAACTTCTGACACAAAGGTTCATGTACCTGTCTATAGCCACAGCTACAAGGGTAAACCCGGCAGCAAGAACAATTGAAAACTCAACAAATCTCATAGTCTTACAGAAATCCCCAGATGTGAATCTGTATTGATTTCTGAGGTCGTAAATTTCAAAAGGCATCACAATTAAACAATTCATGAGATCGAATACGGCCAACACGGAAATAAAAACTCCCTTCGTTGTTGATTTACTTTTAGATTTGTAAACATAAAACACAATGCTGTTTCCGATTCCTCCAACAATTATTAACAGGAAAACAAAACATATCACTGGTAACAAAAGCACAGCATTTTCGTCGTTTTTGTAATTCAAAAGAGTCTCCTCATCCGTCACTTCTTTCGTATCATCTCTTTCAGTAAGGTTTGGATTTATGTCCATGCCGCCTATCGACATTCTGGTCAAAAAGTTTCCCGTTTGATGGGTTCCCAATTTTGTTTCCCGATCATGCATTTCCTATCACATGTTTACGCTCTGTTCATTTCAGTTTCCTAAAAACTCAGGGAAAATAACCACTAATCCAGTCGATATATAAGACACTTGAATTTTTAGAAATGCAGCACTTCTTGAGTAAGGAGAGAAACGATACACTTTCTCGCCGGTTATATTTTGTAGCACGAGGATGTTGATAAACACTGCCTTTTAGCCTAAACAAAGTAAAGATTCGCACCTGTAGAAAAAAGATCAATATCAATTAGACATTTCAAATGCCTCATCCATATAATTTTACCGTCACTAAATAAATGAATATTAACCAAAAAATATACAGAACTCACTGCTAACGTTAACGATCAAAAATGATAAAAATATCTATAAGCACCATGCCGTCTGAGAAGTCTGCTTCAACGAAAACAACCCATAATTTATTTGCTGTAAAGAAGAATGATAAAACTTACAATATCAAAGCCCTCAGTTGGATTTTATCAAATCCGATTGGTCTTATTTTTTGAATATGTGGACTACCCAGATTTAGAGAAAAAAGACATTTTTTTTTTAAAGAACTGCAACAAACGAATGAAATCCAAACAATAACAGACTTTACTGAAAGGCCCATTTTATTCTGGACAATTTAGAAACTCCTGTGTGGTATTAATTGCTCATTAAATGCCATCAACGAAACTAAGAGGCTCACTATGTGCATTAAATCGACATTTAATGGCAGACGAACATTTCATCAACATTTGTACCGCGCTAGTAATATTGGGGTTGTTATGATTTGCTTTCCCAACGTCAGAAAAAAAGAGTTAACCCATATGCTTATGTCATTTATCTAAATATGTATGTTTTGGCCTTCATAACTACATAAGCTGTTATAAAGTATAGTAATACTTCATCTTTGAAATTGTGGAATTTCCATGAGTTGATGATACGAAAAACTGACTGCTCTCTCTCTCTCTCTCTCTCTCTCTCTCTCTCTCTGCGAGTCTTGCAAAAAATTCAACGACATGAAATTCAGATATTTCAACAAACATTGGCGTTATTATTTTTCTCCCATACACTTCGCTCTGCATCAAGAATCAAGACATCTAATTACATAGCGAGTACAAACGGGAGGAAATCCCGTTTTATTATAAACACTCCTGGCAGAATGTGTTCTTTTATCACAAGATTATGTAACTTCAGAGTGCGTTTTTCCTGCAGTATGAAAAAAAAAATACAAACGAATGATGTGTGCATGCATCATAAATTTAAAGTATTTTCAAAATTCTAATACTGCATCACGAAAAAAAGTTGTGGTTATTAAAAAATTATTAATGTTAAATGAAAGAAATTAAATACTACATTCCTCGTTAAAAAAGTGGTTTTGTTGATAAAGTAACACGAGTAAAAATCTTAATGGTCATCAGAGTTATTTCCCTTCTTTAATCCACGAACTTGATTACACACAAAAAAAATAAAAACAGTAGATATTCCACACTTTGCATACAAAGGGATTCTCAGTATTGTTTTTTTTTTTTTTTTTTTTTTTGCTGTTGACAATGAATAACATTTTTCTAAGATTGCGCTATATCTATAAGTTTTAAAAGAAAATACCTGGTACTATCCAGTATTTTGCTGTATATATGTAAATGTAACACTTTTACTTTGTGAAAGAAAACTATTGAAAATAATTGTGTAGCCAGAAAATATTGTTCAAGCTAGGAAGAATTGTTAATATTTATATGAATGCTTTGAAAAACACTCTAAACTGTGTAATAGGCGTAATTTAACACAACACAATGTATGAAATCAATGTTTCTGTATATCACAGTAGCCAATAGATGCAATTTTTGTAACATATATTTAATTTCAATCTCTCTGTGCACCATACATTTACTAATTAGAATACGCTGATTATACACTCTTTTTTAAAACATTTTACATTCTTTTATTATGCTTCATATTGATTGTATGCCAATATAATTGACTGTCGTCATGAGAAAAAGGCCCTTAAGGTCAAAATTTCACAAATTGACTTTATGGTAAATTTTGATAGCCTGACTCTTTCTGAATGCAAATATACATCAACATTTAAAATATCTCACTTTTTCAGTATTTTATGAGCATTTTAGTAAGGCTGCTTCAAAACAACGTTGACGTTACTTACTGAAAACGTAATGACGTCGCGTGCGTCACAATCAGTTTCCAAACATTCTTTTAAAAACTACATTTTTTACATAACCTTAATCGTTTTGACTCATATAAACTTGAGATTTTTTTTTCTTCCAAGCAACTAGTATGTAATTATTCATGAGGGAAGTCGCATACTATTTTCATACTATATTAGAGCAAGTCTAGTAATTTTGTAAAGGGTGGGCTGAGGGTCTAGACAGGATCTAGGGACGGTTTTTATTCAGTCGAAAAATTAATACTTGTTGAATTCTACATCATAAGGTATTCTTTTTAAAATTCATACCCTAGCTCAATTTATAAAAGATATAAAGCACTTGTAATATTAAAATATGAAAAAATCTATATAGATGTCCCAGAAGGTTACCTTGTGCAATTAAAGCGGGGCATCCCCTCGCGAAAGAGCACATCGATCCCGATATAAAAAAAATATTTTCGGATGTAAGCACGCATACACTCACCCACATACACGCACGTTACTTTATCCCCTATAACTTTGTTACGAAGGGATAATAACACCTCATGTATTTTCTGTATCACCAAAAAATTCTAACGGGAAATAAATTCAGATACGTCATGATGTGTAAACTTTTGCTTTCTTTTTCTTTCTTTTTTTAAGGTTCATTAAAAAAAAAATCATAATTAATAACAAAACAAAAGAAAAAAACAAAAACAAAAAATCTGTTCACTACCTTCAAGGGGATTCTTTTATTTAGCTTTTTCTTAATTTTTAAAAAAAAATGTTTAAATAATTAAGTTTCCATTGTTTATACAATTCAATTTCTTCGCCTTACATGTAGTTATGGAGTAGAAACATAACAAAGAGGCACATAACGAAGTCAAAGGATTAGCTTGTATTATGAACGTTTATTCTATACATGAATTTTTTTTTTTTTTTTTTTTTTTTTTTTTGTCAACTACTTACTTTTTTCAGTAAATCACACTTAATCCAAAGCGATTAAAAATGTTTCTGTCCTTTTTTTTATTTTGAGGAACCTGAGCCCTCGACGCTACTGCTGCATCACTTGAACGCAACAAGTATTGGTCATTATTTCTTATAGTGCTGCTAATCTAAAAAAAAAAAAACCTGATATATATACACAAACTAAACGGACTTTTCTGAGCGAAATGAAATACAGTTGCATTACAATTTTTTTTATAAAATCTATTTGAAATTGAAACCGAATATCATGCGAGACTTAACAGATCCGTAGAACGCGCGGGGGGGGGGGGCAATTTTTCCTCTTATACATGCTGCCCCCCATTTCTGTTTTTGTAAGGTGAAGCACTGGTAAATTCTAGGATTTGTACAGATAAGTTTTTCCCTTTTTCTGCTTGTCAGGTTATAGTATAGTTTTTTTTTTTGCCCTACCAAACCCCCACCCCCCACCCCGAACTTTTGAAACTAACTACGGACCTGCTTGAATATATGTGTTGGTTAATTAAGATCATCAACTCATCTTCCTCTGTGGCATCAGCTACATGTAACCTGACACCTAAGCTTTTCATATTTCGATGCGATGAAATGTACATGAAATTATATTCTAAAACAATAATCGAATATTACGTCTAACACAGGCCCGTAGGAAGCAATTTCAGTTTTGTTTTTTTTTTTTTTGGGGGGGGGGGTAGCTTTACATTTTCAGTTGGGGGGCACTATCAACTACCAAAAATTCCTTGACAAGCAAAATTAAAAAAAAAAGTCATCAAACGTTTTTATTGAGAGGGCACAAACATATAGTAGCTAGTAGCCCCCCCGTGCCCCCCCCCCGCCCCCCGTTCCTACGGCCATGTAACACATATGTTTATACTTTTTTTATATATATGAGGCGATTCGGTTAAGCAATATCCCATTGAATGTTTGTAACTCTACCACTCTAACTTGACCTTCATGGGCGATCGACTTAGTATCTACTTTTGTCTTGAAAGCTAAAGATAAAATAGACAAACCATTTTTTCCTAGGTATTGTTTCAAAAAATAACAATTTGTCAGAATCTCGAAATTAAAGAGCATGACTCTTATTTTTGCCTGTTACCACACGACTAAAATAGAAACTTTTTTTGTGTGTGTGCTTGTTTAATATTTTTCCCTCAGTATCCCTACATCAACGGAACTTTCAAAAATGTCGAGATCCGGGGTATCGATATATCAGAGCTGAGACTCGACGTTCAAGATTTCAACACGAAAGAAACGTGACTAATTTATTACATACAGATGTACATGAATACAACAGTACACACGCACTTAACGTTTTAAACTTTTCTTTTCATAAATGAAAAATTCTCCATACTATTATACATGTAGTATGGAGAATTTTTTTATTTATGAAAAGAAAGGTAAAAAACGTCAAGTGCCTGTGCAACATTCAGCAAAAAAAAAACAAAAAACAAAACAAACAAACAAACAAACCTTTTTTAACATATGGTCATCAAAGTTTTGCCTGAACCTCCTTTTCTCCGCTCGAAACATCACCAGTGTTATTTTTTTTTTTTTCATATTTCTCAAAATTTATATTTCTGTACTGTCTTTGTTGTCTTACGACTGGTGTGGTTGATGTTTTTGAAAGTTCTCTTAACATTTGAATTTGACACCCATAACCACTTGTTGCTGGTTCCAATTCCCCTGTCGGTGATTTATTCTCAAAAGATGTCACCATATCAAAATTTATCAGACGTTTGTAATTTCTTTACAGCCTAATGTATTGTTTAATCTGTTGTTTCTTTTGTGTCATTACTATTTTTATTCCTTATATCACCGTCGATGTAATTGTTATTTTCTTCAACTTTGATCATAATGCTTTTGGAAAAAGTCCACATTAGCTGTATTTATTTCCTAAATGTATTGCAATTCAATTTCGAGTCAGTTTTTATCGGAACAATTTAAGAAAATTGATACAATAGTCATTTTTATCAGAAACTACTTTTTTGTATTTATTTGATCATTTCAAAATGTTTTCTTAATCATAATTTATTTTTTGCAAAAATTTCCGTGGCATCCCCCTCTTCCGTTTTTCCCCTTAGCATATTCTCTTGCTGTTAACTTAGCAAAGAATTATCTATATAGGGGCTGTTTGCCCCCCCCCCCCCTCTCATTAGTTGCTGTAGTAGGAGGTTCGAATCTCCCATAATACCAGATACCAGTACTATACCCCCCCCCCCCCCCAAAAAAAAGAGAAAAGAATGGTTCTCTTTTTTAGATTGAACTTTTACCGATTTCTGTTTTATTCGCAGATTTTTTTTTTTTTTTTTTTTTTTTTTTTTGCTTTTCAATGATCTGCACCCCACCCCCTCCCCCTCAAACACATTTGGATGTCGACGC